TGATGAATATATATGAATTACGTTAGAAAGAAGACAGTTTATTTGTTCCTGTCTCAAAATAAACGTTTACTTTGAATTTCAAAGTGCAAAAACTTGAGTTTTTTTTTAAGGTATACACATGCAAGTACATACAAACTTTTTTTGTTAATTTGAAGTATGCGAGTCAAATCAAAGAAAATTAAGATGCCATTTTCTCAAAATCCATATTCTTCTGTTTTCGTAGATTAATTATATGTAAATTTGGAATATTTTTAAAATATAAATTGTAAATGTTCAATTGCACTTTGGTATTTTATTGGATAGTTATTTAAATTTATCTCCATCAAATACGACTACTTGAAACACTATTTTAAATGCTTTAGAAATAATTTTTATTTTTTAATGACATCATAAGAAACTAGAATCACATTACCGTAAAACAATATATAGCAACGCATGGGCATTATGGGAGGCGGGGGTATCATTTAGTGAGCTCATTGCTCACAGTGCCTCTAGTTTCGATTAAACGCAATAAAAATACATATGTATTTCTTTCTTCTCAACGGGCTTCCGTACAATTTAGGAGATGCAAAGATTCTTCTGCGTTGGAAAAAAAAAAGAAATTACTTTGCCTGAGATATATATATATATATATTTTTTAATAAAAAATTAATTAATTCTTTATTGAAACATCCTTTCCAACCTTTCACTAATCTAAAAAAAAATAAGACAATTAATTCTTCAGTTATTGAAAAGAAAAGAAAAAAAAAGTGAAATGACCACTGATAAAATGTTAACTGAAAATATAGTGAAAACAAGCCCACATCGTCAGTTTTTTATTTTCAAGCAATAAGCTCTTCAGTTATTGAAAAAAAGTAGGAAAAAAGTGAAATTAAAACTAATAAAATATCAAATTGAAAAAGAGTTATTACTCGCTTCGTCAGCTATAATTTTAAAGAAAAAATGCTAATTTTTTTTACTTATTTTTTTATTCTGATCATTTTATAGATTGATAAAATCTAAGTTTTGAAACTGCATGCTAGCTGTTGCAATTAGTTCCCATTTTGATGGAAAATTTGATAATATGACTGGACTAATGTGAAGTATGAAAGTCATAGCTCCACTAAAGTAAAAGTTATGCTAATTTAAAAAAAAAAGGATACGGAAATAACTAACAGTATTCAATCTCAAAGTCCATAAAACATTACAATATGGGTAAGTTAAAGTGTTTGCGGACAAACAGACTGACAAACAGAAGACAACTAGACAGACGGACGGACGCGCCAAATTCTATATACCCCCGAATCTTCGATCACGGGGGCATAAAATGTTTTATTAATTATATAAATTCATTAATCAATCAAATTTCATTCTCTGTGTTTTACTTCAGAATAAAAACAAGCTGCGTTTGTGAAACACTGATGCCCCCTCTCCCAGTATGGCAGCTTATGGCAAGGGTTGAAATCTCTTAAATGCATGTTCAACTCGAAATGTCAAGGTAAAAAGGTCAAAAGTGTTGGTACCCAAAGGAAGACCTTGTTACAAGGAAAACACCTGTGAAATATGAAAGCCCTTTTTCTAATTGTTCAACAGCTATAATCACGGTTAAATGTTTTAAAAAAGTGGGTCAAGGTCAAAAGGTCCAAAATATCTATACCAACTGAAAGGTCTTGTCACAATAAATACGTACATGTGATGGATGAAATCTCTAGCTCCAACTTTTCAAAAGTTATGGCTAAGGTTAAAGTGTGGCATTTTTTGTAAAAGTAGGTCAAACTCCAAGGTCAAGGTCAAGTTTGATGGTACCCATGGAAAGGTCTTGACACAAGGAACACCCTGTGAAATATGAAAGCCATAGCTCACCAGCTCAAAAGTTATGGGCTAGATTAAAGTTGACAACACACAGTACCCCTAGTTGTGAAATATGAAAGCCATAGCCCACCCTCTCAAAACTTATGGGCTAGAATAAAAGTTGACAACACACAGACAGAGAGGGAAACAGACAAACAGACAGACAGGACAAAAACAAATATCCTCGGGATCTTTCGATCCGGGGTATAATTATACATGCATTCAAAAATCTGAATGATAAAGTAGGTGAAATATGGCATGTCAAAAGTTGCAATATTCGATCTTTACCATTTGTATTGTATAATTTTTATTTGTATTCCATATGTTTCCATTTGTATTTTATATTTTTCATTTTTATTGTATAATTTTCCATTTGTATCCTATAATTATCCATTTGTATTACAAATTTATTTGTATGTATAATTTTTCAGTTATATATATGTATAACTTTTTTCTTATTTGTATTGTAAAATTTCTTATTTGTATTCGATAATTTTACATTTAACACAATCCAAAAATAAAAGGGAAAATCAAAATTCCCTTTTTTCACCCAAGGTTTACAATCTGAAGTCATTTTAGACTTAAAATCCTTAAATGTGTCTCCACAAGTTCCCTTTTTGAAGATTTTTTTAAGTATTTGAGGAACGTTCCTCTTTCTACACCTCAGATGCATTTGTTATGACCAGACTTTTGAGGAACGTTCCTCTTTCTACACATCAGATGCATTTGTTATGACCAGAGATTTGAGGAACGTTCCTCTTTCTACACTTCAGATGCATTTGTTATGACCAGACATTTGAGGAACGTTCCTCTCTCTGAAATTTAGATGCATTTGTTATGACCAGAGATTTGAGGAACGTTCCTCTCTCTGAACTTCTGGTGCATTTGTTATGAGCAGACATTTGAGGAACGTTCCTCTCTCTGAACTTCAGAATCATTTGTTATGAGCAGAGATTTGAGGAACGTTCCTCTCTCTGAACTTCTGGTGCATTAGGTATGACCAAAGATTTGAGGAACGTTCCCCCCCCCCTCTACACTTCAGATGCATTTGTTATGACCAGACATTTGAGGAACGTTCCTCTCTTTCTCTCTCTCTCTCTCTCTCTACATTTCAGATGCATTTGTTATGACCAGACATTTGAGGAACGTTCCTCTCTCTGAACTTCTTATGCATTTGATTTGACCAGACATTTGAGGAACGTTCCTCTCTCTAAACTAAGATGCATTTATTATCTCAACAGACATTTGAGTAACGTTCCTCTCTTACATATGTGAACATACAGTTTGTATTTTTAAATACCTTATGAATGAACACATCAGGCATTTGGGGAACGTTCCTCTCTCAGATTTACTTATTACCGTAGGCATCTCATGAATTTTCAAATATTAGGCATTAGAGGAACGGTCATCTTCCAGTTTCAAATATTGATACTATATACCGGTACACCATGTACACTGGAGGAACGTTCCTCTTCAAACTACTGACACTGGATTTACTAGTCTAAACACAACATATTTGAGGAACGTTCCTCATCCAATTTCAAATATTGATACTATATACACTAGAGGAATGTTCCTATTTCAACTAGACACTGTATTTACAAGTTTTAACACACAATATCACAAACGTTCATCAGTCAATTCAAATTGATAATACATACTACATGTATATAAACAGTACATTTGAGGAACGTTCCTCTACCAATTCCTATCAAAAACACTACAACCATGAATCTAAATACACTGAACTTTCCTCTCCCCATTTCAAAATTTGACACTGGACTGGAGGAACATTCCTCTTCCAACTGTTGACAATGGATTCATGTCGAATACTCCTCTTCTGATTTCAAATGTTATATAACTTTATACATGAATCACAGTGTAACTGGATTTGAAGAATTTGAGAAAGCTGTACACCCAGGTACTCCCTAACGTAAAAGAATAGATAATCCTGTTGATTTCATAAAGTCAAATTTCAAGGTTGAGACTATTCCGACACAGAAAAATAATGCCTGCTTAAAATTTGGGGAACCCTTTGCTTTACAGACATCAAACTTAGTATACTCATGGTACTCCCAAAGGAATAAAGACCCCTACACTGATTTTGGGTTATACAAGGTGAAAGCACAGGGCTCAAACTTATCTAGAAATAGAAAGTATTGTAAGTAATATTTAAGTAACTTGAGATTCTAATGTTTGAAAAATAATTTAATGCACTAGATCTGTAGTCCTCCTAAGAAATATATGACAACTTTTGATTTGGGGGTCATAACTCGATCACAAGATCAAGTACGTGTCATTCTTGACAATTAATATTTTAGGAAATCATTTTTCACTCAATTTTTTCACTCTTATTGTTACAGACATTAAACTCGTTGGTACCACTCCTTTAGGAGTAAACATGATCACATTTTATTTTGAGGTCATTAGGTCACTTCTTTGGATATAGGAATGTATTTCTGCTCAATAAAGAGTAAATGTTTACTTTTATTTTAAATGACAAAAAAGGGCAACTGTTTGAATCGTGCAAGAGACATAAATCTACAACAAGGAGTTGATCAAAAAAGGTATACCATTCCCCTGGACCCCTGCATTTACACTTAGGATATAAAACTTTTGTATAAAGCAATGCTTTCTTACACTTAATCAATGTCAATTTTCTTTAACAGTTGAAATTTCATGATATTTATTAAATAAAAAAAATCTTTCAGGAAAAGTATTCTTACCCTTAGCTTTTTTTAGCATAGTTCATCCATGATTTATTTATGAAAAGTCAGTGCATTGACCATTAAATTCTCTATAAGTTGAACATCCATTGACATTTGAAAATCATGCATATATGACTGTGTCTCTACTTACTTCATCACGCACCTCAAGTTTTTAAGTTATATAACTTTATCACAGTATAACACAGTATAGCACACAGATTTATCAATGTCTAATTTCTCCAATTTCGAATTCCCCTTCAAACGACAGTTGCATTTAGATGATAGCTGTTCACATGTGCAACTGCGACCCTTCCATACATATTTGAATGGAAACACGTGGTGCCACTTACTGAAGAATTGTCAATCAAAACACTGCACACTGATAATCTTGGGTGTGTTATCAGTCTTGGACACATCCATCTCTCAACCCTACCAAAATATTCACGACTTCAATTCAGAAGATGCTGATCACATCGAAAGATTGTTGAATAAAACAGGATGTTGCAGTTCTTCACAGTTAAGGATTTATCAAGGTATATATGCAAATAATATCAATTTATGAAAATTCTTTGTTTGCATAAAAACTAAAATAAAATACTTTATCAACATGATCAATAACTTAAGTCAGAGTTGATCAATCCTGCTGAAATATTAGCTGTCAGCCACTTCCAAATACCAGTAAATTAAAATGAGAAATTTACTTTAATTTTAGACAAAATGATATGCCCTGGATTTCAATGTAAAAGAAAACGAATACCCTCATGACACCACTTGCAGCAACATTTCAGAGAAATGATTAAAGTGTCCTAAACAAATCAAGTAAGTAGTCATAATTTTCATTATTAGTTGGGAAAAATAGAAATTCTATGAATTCCTATATAATGTATATATTATCAAATGCTGTACATGGCAGGAAATAGATTAATTATGTTGAATATAAGTAAAACATGTTTAAAAAGCAGTGCGAGGGATCGACGGATGATTTTGCATTATTATGAGTGAAATTAAGAAGATAAAAATACATAATTAAGTCACATGGAATAAAATCACTTCGCTGTAACTCAATTCAACATAAGTGTGTTGGCAAAATCGTGTTTTACTGTATTTTGTTATTTTTTTTAATTATTCATCATTTACTTATCTCAATTAATTAATTTAATTTTTGGGGAGAGGGAGTGGGGATGCGTGGAGTCCGTGCCCATACTAATTTTTTGGGCTTCCTAACACAGGAAACTTTGATTGAGAATTTGCTCCTTAAAAAAATACCCCCCCTCTTGCCACTGAACTTATCCTATATACTTTCTAAAAATATGCAAAATATACATAGTTATGTATTGTTTTTAATTTGTTTTACCGGGTATATTTTTTTTATTTGTAAACTGGCATGATTTAACATGTCCATGTATTAACTATACATTATTGATAAGAGACGTACACTCCATTTTGAATTAAAGTTTTGACAGACCTGGTATATTTTATATGCCAAGTCAGTGTCATATTTGCTTTTTTTTAATCAAACATTAATTGATTTGATAAAGAGAACAATAGCTGTGTTTCACCCAGTTCAATCCAAAAATCATTCGTGCTTCACTAGATGCTCGGTTTTAGAGTAGAGCAGAACACATTCAACGAGGCTCAAAGGAATAATCTAGTGTGTCAAAGAATTAATGTGTTTAGATAAAACAGAGCCATATAGTTTGTTTATGCATGGCCAATGCTGAAATCTTAAACTCTGAGACAATTATCGCTTCATCGACTTCACTAAGCGGTCACTGGTCAAATGTTTATTCTTTCCCAAGATATCGTTAGCTCTATTACTTGTGTGTATGAACAAGAGTACTAAATATATTGAAATCATGTGTTTTTCTTTGCTAGCAATATAGTGACCTTGTCTAATATCATACCCTGCTATAAAAACATGTTAAAATTTTTATTATAAATTGGTTATCTTCAAATATTATGGAAAAAGACAAAAATTCAATAAATTATTATCCTCAATATTGTATCCTTTTAAACTATATGCTGCTGTTAGAATAATAAGGATAAAATTTAAAAAAAACTAATTAAAAAGATTTAAACACTTTTTTGAAACAATTTAATGGGAATTTTTTTTTCTATTTTTATAAAAATTCTAGGCATATTTTGTTGTGTTGTCAACTGCAAGGATTATGATCAAAGCTCAAGTACACGTGTACAATTTAAAGAAACATATGACAAAACCTTTATCTCAAAGGGGTTTTTTGTCATTCTATATATTAATCTTTTCTAAAATAAATGAATAATTAAATACAAACTCACATTTTATGTATTGCATTAGTTGTTTTAACAGATTTTTAATATCAATTCAAATGGAATGCAGTCCAAAATAGAGTGAATATGAAGTTTTTTTAGTTGTCATTCATCACTATCCCACTGAAAAATATATTTTATTCTATAAAAAAAAAATCCAAAGGTGGCATCTTGTTTATATTCCTACATATACCTATTGTTAAGGATTAGTTAAATACTTTAACAGTAACTTAAGTATACGTATTATTTATTTATAAATAAGTATTTATGATTCAGATCTTAAAAAATTGTATATTAATGTATGCATGGTATATGTATGGTCGATCAGCAGATCATGTCTTGTGTACTCAGTGTCCGGTCCCTGATAAAAGAAAAATAGTAGTACCTGGTACTAAAAATACGAGTAACAGTTTCACTAGTTGATACTTCCATCATTTTATATGCATATAACCGTAATTTTGTTATTATTTATTTATTAGGTTAAAGCGGAGAAAAAATGCACTATTCAGTTTCATTAGAGAGGTTCATTTTTACAACACATGCCTGATATGTACACCAATGAGAGACTCAGTGTTCCAGTGTTGGTGAATGTAATTTCAAAGAGTTGAAGAAAATCTTCTTAAATTATTTCTACATAATGAAAGCTGATAAGCGGGGTTATATAAATTGACCTCAAGTTTTACAGATAACATAGACTTTTGACCTTGCTGCAGCTGGCTAATTTATTAAATCCCAAATGACCCACACTGCAATCCAAGATATAGGAAATCTGTGAAATTCAGAGTGCATGTTTCTGAAATTAACAATTAAATCAAAGATAGTTTCAGTATCAAAGTATCTAACTTTGAAAAGGGGGAAGGGGATGAGCAATAGCCAATCAATAAAACAAACAATTATATAACTATTTTACTCAGTACAACATTTCTTTTAATACATGTGCTAATGATTTAATAAAATATTCTAAATCAATAAAACAGTATTTAAGGGTTTTTTTTAAATATGGATTCTTATTCCTGCTTCCTTAAGATCTGGCAATTAAGTGCAGGAGATGCTGTTTTCATATTATTATTATTTTTTTAAAAATAAGTATGTGGAATGTTTCTTTGCATTTAATATATGTACAAACCAGATTTTAGCCTGAGATTTGTTATTCCCGAACCAGAATAATTAGTAAAGTTTTACAGTGTGTATAAATTTCATTACACTTTTTGTTTTTTAAATATATTGAAACTATCCAAATTTTAAGGTAAAATTTAAAACTCTAACAAGATCTAAATTCTCTCACTCATGCGGTTTGAGTTCTGTTCTACAATGTAAATTGCTTCAATCTTCTGACTGCAGAGACATCTTTATCTATAACACGATAAAGTCATCATAGCATCAGCACTGATCTTTACTGTCCATGAAATCACAGGGGACAGATAGTTGCCAGAGCTGATCGCCTATAGCTAGTGTTCCCTGAGCATATATGATTGGCAGTGATTAATAACAATTACACTGTGAACCGGGGCCAGGAAGACATCAAGGTCTCCAAGTCTTTATCTTTAAAGTAAAGAATGATGCAGGAATTAGGGTTACTAAACAAATCCCTATTATAGAATCAGTTCTTCAGTTTTAAGAAATACACAATAGTACTACAATATAATACAAATTGAGATTCAGAATGAAAATAGGTTCTTGTAAATTAAAGAGTACATTAATAAAACCCATGAAATATTATCTGACAGCTGCATGTACTATGGAAAAGGAGAAATAAATTAAACTTTTAAAAATTTGATGACTTATATTATCATACATGTATATAAAATGTTCATTGGAGGAGTAGGGGGCTTAAGACCTAAATATTATTATAATTTACATTTCTAATTGTCACTTCCCAGTTTTTAAATTAGTGTTACATGCAAGATATGAAGGAGAATAATTTTTCTCAGACATAATTTGCAAATCAGAGTTACTACTGTAAACATTTAACATTTGGCGGTGTATTCTTTTTAGCATTTTTGGCGGAAAGAAACATCCGCTAATATAAGTACAACGCTAAATGTCTTAAATATAGAACATTAAAATACGCTAAATCAAACCTTTGCTAACTTGTTAAAATATCAATTTCCGCCAAATAGTGTACACTCTAAATATAAAACATTTACAGTATTTCATTAAAATAGTATGAGAAAGATAGAAAGTGTCAATTTTTCAATATTCTTAATACAGTATGGAAATGCTTTCATAATTCATGGGCAATTTAAAGTTCAAAATTTTAATTAAAGTTTTGCAATTTTTTTATCGATTTTTCCAGTCTATTTAATTTTTACATGAGACATCAAAACTTGTTATTATGTATACATTGTTTTGATTATTCTAACTTTGCCTGAATCACATCTTTGATAATACGACATGCCGCTGTACTGAATGTGAGATTTTTCCTACAGAAGATGACACCCAAGAAACTTGTTGAGGCTGTTTCACTGTGACTGATGAAAGAATGCTATGAACCTTTGGAGACCAAGGAATTGGGATAGTCTCTATTATGAGGGAAAGATGTAACCGAGAAAGAAATAAGGTTGACCTTCATCAACAATTTTGGTTTAATTTCATGGTAGAAAGGAAAAATACTGTGGGTATTAACCTGTTAACCAAGACATTGTAATATGTGATCACACTGCCATTCAGTGAAAAAGCCCTTTGTGTTGATACATGAACACTGCACATTGTACATGCTTGTTCCGAAGTGAAATATTTGTTTGTTCCTGTACCTAGTTTATGTTATGCTTTAAGAAAGCCTTAATTCAAAAAGTACTTCATCAAAATGACAAACTGATTTTTCATACCAGTATATATTTTGTAGAGTGTGTACAGATAAAAATTGTTTCTATGAATATGTACTGCATTTCATATAAACGAGAGAAATGTTTCCCAAATTATTCATGTACGATAAAAACTAATATAATATCACAAAACACATGATAATTTTAGACAGGAACGTTCCTCCAAAGTTATTTTTAAGTGGGCTTTGTAATGTATCAACAGATATCCATTAAAAAACAGAGGAATGTTCCTCAAATGCACGGGTTGCAAGCTTCATGAGGTATAAGTAATCAACAGAAATACAACCATTTATGAGAAGAACGTTCCTCAAATGCCTGATTTAATATGAATAAGTTATAGACATAAACAAATCTGAGAGAGGAACGTTCCTCATACATGTAAGTATCCTGTGTGAACAATGTTAAATTTAAGTGAGGAACGTTCCTCAAATGCCTAATGTTTGACAATTCATGAGACAACCATTTGTGAGAGGAACATTCCTCAAATGTCTGATATTTGACAATTTGAGATGCCTAAATTCGAGCGAGGAACGTTCCTCAAATGCCGGATGTTTGACCATTCATGAGATGTCTTCAGAAAAAAGTGAATTTGAGAGAGTAACGTTCCTCAAATGTCTCATGTGTTAAGATTCTTAAAGTATTTAAAAATACACACTGTATGTGCACATGTAAGAGAGGAACGTTACTCAAATGTCTGGTGATAATGAATTCATCTTAGTTTAGAGAGAGGAACGTTCCTCAAATGTCTGTTCATAACAAATGCATCTGAAGTGTAGAGAGAGAGAGAGAGAGGAACGTTCCTCAAATGTCTCATGATAACAAATGCATCTGAAGTGTAGAAAGAGGAACGTTCCTCAAATCTCTGGTCATAACAAATGCATCTGAAGTGTAGAAAGAGGAACGTTCCTCAAATACTTAAGAAAATCTTCAAAAAGGGAACTTGTGGAGACACATATAAGGATTTTAAGACCAAAATGACTTCAGATTGTAAACCTTGGGTGAAAAAAAGGGAATTTTGATTTTCCCTTTTATTTTTGGATTGTGTTATTTGTATTGTAACTGAAGGATTGATTTTTTTTTTGTTACGAAGGTTTTCATCGGTCAGCGCAACTATTAGTCTTAGTATTTGTAATAAAGTTTTCAAGCATTCGAGATATGTATCTTGGCGGTTGAACTTGGCTCATTTACATGTATTTGCCTTGAGGCTGAGGTACCTCTCGGGGGGGGGGGGGGGGGGGGGGAAGGAAATCTGCTAAATCCCGAAAACTCAAGACTTCTGATGCGTGGGTGGCTTAATTAGGTACTACCAGTCAAATTCAAATTATTTATTTTCTTAGACAACATTTATAAGGATAGTGTTATTTATTTGACATCTGCCAGCCTCCCCTTTAATCTAAATGGCTGTCCTCTAACATGTACGCAAATTCATTTGGAAGAACCCAATTTAAGAGTACCCGGAACATCTCGCTCATTTTCAACACGATACAGGCTAATTCTAGACAAATGAAATCGTTCGTAAAGAAATAGATAAATAATCCTTTGATACAATATAAATAAAAACCAGAAGTCTCTCTCTCGAGACTGAAGCTCGACTGGTTTGTACTTGTAACAAAGGATGAGAAAAGTAGCAGTTGGGACTTTAAACTATTTTTAGTAACTATGGCAACATAGTTCATCGAAATCAAAACCGATAAACAGAATTCTTTATCTTGGTGTAGTCTATTTGTGTGCAAAGTTATATTGAAGTCAGACAAACACTGTAGGAGGAGCAACATTTTGAAAGTATTTCAAAGAAATTTCTATTTTTAGTAACCACAGCAACAGTGTTCATCGAAATCAAAAACCGAAACACAGAAATATGTATCTTAGTGTAGTCTTCTTGTGTGCCAAATTATATTAAAATCAAACAAAAACTGTAGGGGGAGTAGAATTTCAAAAGTATTTCAAATTTTCTCATTAAAAGAACTACAAATAAAGTAGTAAAAATGAAGATATTAGATTAAAATGCATAGAAAAAATCCTAAATAAGAAAACAGTTACTGTACCAAACTGTCAAGAAAAATGGGGGGAAATATTTCAAAGTAACATACAGTGGAATTTAGTTTGGGAAAGCATAACAAGAATAAAACATTAAATTCAAGAATTTCAATGGAAAGGGATCCGTAATACATATCTTGTGCACTGAAGATAAATTATGCAAAATTGGAATGTCCAGTGGTATATGTAATTTAGGTAAATACCAAAGGGAAAAATCAACAATATTTTTTCATTGTAGGTTAATCAAACCATCACTTAAATAAGTAGAAGAAACAATTCTCAGTGTGTTAGAACTAAATGAAAATATGGAATTGAACCCACAAACAACAATTTTAGGCTACTTAAAAGAACCACAAAGCTCAAGAATTAAATATTTACATGTATTAACACTTTATTATACATTCATAAGTGGGTTATTATGGAAAACGAGAAAAAAGTTAAATATGAAAATGTAGAAGTAAATTATTTAAGGTAATCCGAACCTCGGGTTCTGAGAATCAGACATTGAGTAATTGAAAATGCTCACAAAGATGTCTCTAAATTCTCAATACGAAATATATTTACCTACGGTGTTTCTTAAAACTTCATTTTTAAAGTTAATCATATTATGCAGGGAAAATTAGTAAATCTCAATTAAATTATCAAAAAATGCGATTAGAACTACCTGCTGCATATTTTCTAATTGATAATTGATCAATAAATACATTTTAGGAATAAAATCATAGGTATCCAGGCTTTTAAAGAAAATTGCATGATTTTTAGCCGGGCTTATTGCTCAAAGAGCAATTGCCGGCTTATGTGATCCTGTTCAAGGCAGGATGTTGACCCCATAGTCGCCATTTTAAAGTTACGTGCAAAAATATAGTTCTTACTCTCAACCGCTTTTGAGATAATACAAACGCTAAATAAAGCAACAAAAATAAAACGAAGATTTATCTATATAAGATAAACATTAGTAGTAATGACTTTGAAAACTTCATAAGTCAAAGAACATAGTTCATTAGCGTAAGAATTTTTGATAACCAGTGTCACCGTAGTTCTCTACACATACGAGGTAAAGCAGGAGAGGGAACCAGACTGGCCTGTTTGTTTATTAGGTTACAGACTACTAATTTTACCCCTATTTCATTGACCACTCAAGTAGTTCCAGTTTAAAAATAGAGGTTTTTTCTTAAAAATTCTTTGGGGTGTTTATGGAGTAGAAAGCGGTTATTTTGGGGCATAAATGGAAAGGAGAGGGTCTGAAAAAAAATATAAAAATGATAATAATGGGAAATTTTGCTTTTAAGTGCGTAGTAGGAAGGGTGTAAAGAGGCCCATATTTACCCTTTCCTCGAAGAGAAAGTGAAAAAAGCAGGGTAGGGGTTATTTGCGATGCCATAAAAGGACTGACTTGCAGACTATGAATGTTCCTGAGAACTTGGTAGATTTTTGGACTTGAAATGGTCTTACTCTGTGCCAAGTTTCAGGTAAGTTGAGCCGGTGTAATTTTTTTTAATATTTTTTATGTTATAAAGGAATGTATAGCAAAATAATTGGTAGTCTGTGTCCTATCAGGTCAAAGGTCAAAACTCGTGTTAATCAGTTTATTGGCATTTTTCGGATAATTTGGAACTAATTATGCTAATTGTTAAAAAAAATAATGGATAAAATTATATTTTAGAGAAGTTAAATGGATTTAAATAATTAAAAAGGGGGAGGGGGCACCTGCTCAGTTGTCAAAGGGTATGACATAATGTGTGCAATTGATGTGTGTCAAGAATTTATGCAATATGAATTTTCATTCTTTATATAATGTTGTAGGTAACATAGAACCCATTCCCCGCCTATCCTCTTATCTTAAATGTCAAATGGAGTTCAAAAACCAAGGTATGTTTTTAACATTTGATTGTTCAGATTACACTATTGTTAGTAGGAAAGAAATGCCTAATTTCTCAAAACTTAAGCTACTTGGTGTTTGTATTTTATAGTTGTCCCAATTACTTATTGATTTGACACAATATTTTATTAATTATGAATGTGAACTGAAGTTAAAATGCTTTTAAATTCATTTTTTTAGTGGCTCATATTAAGCAGATTGTGGGGATGCATGCAGTTGTAGCCTGGATGGGTGACTTAAAAAATTCAGGCCAGTTGCCAGTCAGAAGTGAACAATTTTTGTACCAGAAGCAGAGAAAGTGAGCATTCAGAAAACAAGATACAGCTGTCATCAATATTGCAGTCAAAAGCAGCCAAGTTAAAGGTATACAATCAACTGATTCATAGTTTGTATTATTTTTTGTTTGTTTTCTTTTTTATATACTGTTTTCATCTGTTCATTATCATCTGCTGCTTATTAATGTTTACTCTCTAAAACTTTCTTTTTTTCCTTCAGCTTTTGGAAATGAACATCTGCTGTCTGGTTGCTGGCACTGATCTGTGATTGTCCAAGACAGGAGAGGTCAGTAAGGTGCTCTACATTTCATATGGGATGTTTGGTCCTACTGCCTTTTTCTACTCTTGTGGAATCTTGGACATCATTGTCGGTGGTCGCATATCAGACAAAATCATCATTTTTTGACAAAGACAGGTGTTTTAGAGAATTTGGATAAACTTTGTGCAGAAATAGTACTCCACAAGACAGACAGAACTTATGTACTCCAGTTTAATAGAACCTTCTCTTACCCCCCCCCCCCCTTTCCTGTTCTTAATAGTGAACTTCCAAGCAACTCCAGGACTAATTATATGTGTGGTATGTATTTTCTGTGTTAAACAATTGAATGTATGTATAAATGCGTTTTAATTGTTTTGTTCTTTGGTACCTTTACAGTGCAGAGTTACCTCCCCTTTTTTACAGCAGCCTGAAGAATGTATGTAGGTAAAATGTATATTTAAATTCCTTTTATTGTAAATTCAGAATTATAAAATCCAAATTTTCATAGAATTTATGGTATTTGTTGTCTAATCATGCATATTGTTACAAGAAATATCCATCAAAGAAGTCTAAATATGACCAGGGATAATCCAATTAGAGTGGTAAGTACCACTTCCTGACAGAGGCTGAATTGACCAGGTTGGATAATCTGCTTATAACAAAGGTATTTATCTCCTTTCCTTAGCTTTTATACTGATTTTTCATAGCCTAAACATTGTAGAATTTTTTAATATTAGTTTTACTAAAATTTAAATGTGCTAAACATTTTTATTTTTAATATTTTAAAGAATTTTATGCTTTTTTAAGGTATTTTTTGAAATTTAAAAAAAAAATATTTACTAAAGTAATAGGTAAAGTTTTTTTCTTGAAATTTGTGTAGCACATATTTATCTAGTTAACAAAAATATAAGAAAAGAAAATTACTGTAATATATGTGAGTTGTGAGCATTTCAAATCTGAGAACTGTATGTCTAATGCTTATTTTACCCTCTGCTTTAAGGTGTTCCAGCACATTATTTAAAGGGCCATAACTCTGTTAAGGGATCATCAATTTCAATGAAACTTCATCGGCCACTTTGTATGAACCAAAGACACCAGCATGTCAAATTTCAGCAAAATCAGACAAGGTTTGTGTCCTTATTAGGTTACAGACTACTAATTTTACCCCTATTTCATTGACCACTCAAGTAGTTCCAGTTTAAAAATAGAGGTTTTTTCTTAAAAATTCTTTGGGGTGTTTATGGAGTAGAAAGCGGTTATTTTGGGGCATAAATGGAAAGGAGAGGGTCTGAAAAAAATGATAATAATGGGAAATTTTGCTTTTAAGTGCGTAGTAGGAAGGGTGTAAAGAGGCCCATATTTACCCTTTCCTCGAAGAGAAAGTGAAAAAAGCAGGGTAGGGGTTATTTGCGATGCCATAAAAGGACTTGCAGACTATGAATGTTCCTGAGAACTTGGTAAATTTTTGGACTTGAAATGGTCTTACTCTGTGCCAAGTTTCAGGTAAGTTGAGCCGGTGTAATTTTTTTTAATATTTTTTATGTTATAAAGGAATGTATAGCGAAATAATTGGTAGTCTGTGTCCTATACATTCAGCTTCGGTACCAGATTAATTCTGATTCTGACAAAATCGGACCGTGGTATTAGGATTGAAAAACTCACTGTCAGTGTCTTATCATTTATATTGATAGTTTTAAAATATTTTTTTCATCAGAATATAAATGTGATTCATGTAAGAATTCCATTCTACTCTGTAAATGAGCCCGGCTCTCTGTACTTCTGAGTACTTTGATTATACTTATCTGGTACTTTTGTTTCTCCTACTTACTTCCATCGTTTTATAATTCAATAGTGTATGAAGTGTTTCTTATCAAAGAAAACATCTTAAATCAATTCTAATTTCAAATCATACTTATAAACATTGGAGACTAAGGCTAAATTAAAAGAACTTTGATTTTTTGTTAAATATGCAAGTTTTACCTACATTTATGAGGTACAAATGTCAACTTTTTTTCAATACTTTTTATAAAAACTTTAAAGAACATTGAATCATACTTAGAGGCATAAAATGAAAATTGCTGCATGAAAAAATTTCAAAACTATAGTGCAAAATTGCTTTGATTTAAAAATGAAAGTTGAATGGCATAAATTTGGTGTAAACTTATCAG